CTGTGTGTGTGTGTGTGTCTGTGTGTGTGTGTGTGTTAGAGTTAAAGCAAGCAAAATAATGCAAAAATCAACTTTATAGTAGATTGCAAGTTTAAAATCAGCAAGAGAGTAAGAAAAACCATTAGGTAAACTACAAAACCAGCAGAAGACGAGCTAAAAGCTACAATGTGGTAATGCGTAGATAAAATCAATAGACACTAGTTAAAGGTTAAAATGAGCCGAAAATTAGCTTAAAAACAAGTTGAATAAAACAAATTGAGTAAAAGCTAAAGGTTAAAAAAGCAAACATTTGTCAAAAAGTCAAAATTAGCCAATCAGTAGCTAGCAGCCAAATCTTCTTCGGCATTTTAAAACTGCACTGCAATCATGTATGTTGACAACTATATTTTGGTTAAGTCCTGAAAACTATGTTACTTAAGGACATCAATGTTTAGGAAGAAACGACTTGCTGAAAGATGACGCCCCGCTAGCACCACACTGATAGCGTGATGGGATTGTAATGTTCGCATGAAGCCAACATGGCCAGTCCGCTTAAAATGTCCAACAACCGAGCCACATGTACACATGGTTCCCGTGTCATGCTACACTCTCTTTGCTGACACTTTAAATCACTTCTGTGAATATTAAATGTATGTGTTAGACCTTTGCCAAATATTTCCTAAGAAATTTCCCATTGCATTCAACTAATGTTGTTTAATCTGTAATATAAGGCTCGTGTTGCAAAAAAATAAATAAATAAAAAAAATGTTTGCTCTAATACTTCCTGCTTACTACCAGCTGCAGTCACAAATGGTAAATGAATGAAGTTAGTGTTGTGTATGACCAAAGAACAGCAGACATCTTTTGAGTGTGGATGGACCCTGATGGTTGACCTTTGTCCTGCAAGTGTGTAACCTCAAACCTTATTGCCATGTAAAGAGTGAAGCCCTTTTTAAATAGTTATCAATGGTGCTCTGTGACTAATATCTCAACTGCTAAATTACTAATAGAAGAAAACTCTTTGTCCAGATTCAGATAAAGGCTAGCCAAATTAGGGCCTGTTTGTTTTTTGGGCTTATAAAACAGTTGTCTTAGAAATGACATACTGCTGTTAAAGTGAACATATCATGCTTTTAAATCCTTTTTCACATTTAAATCAAACAATTCTTTGGTCTAAATTCCTGGTTATTGTAGTTCCACAGAACCCTCTTTATCACCTTTTCTGAGGTGCACCTGAGACCAACTCATTTTGTCACTTTAAAGGCAAATGAGGCGCTTTGTACCCCTCCCCCATCCAGGTCTGTGTCTCAGTCCAGAGGTTGTGTTTTTCAAAGTATGCATTTGTTGGTCATTTACGTCACTACTCTACACCGTAGGCTGTCCCAATGTGTCAGCACCCTTCACATGCGGCCCATAAAAATCCCGATTATGAAGGCTGCGTCTGAGTATCCTTCCCGGCCGAGGATCTCCCAGGATTCATTGTGCCCTAGTGGCAGATTTTATTTTATTTTATTTTTTTACGAAGTTGGCTTAGTTTGAAAATTCATCACAGACCAAATAATTTGATTTTACATGTATATTTCTCAACTTAGCTGATAACATTTTTGCTACAACGAGCTGTTGCATTGCATAAAATTCAACTACAAGTACTGATACTAGGGCTAAACCCAAATTATTATTATTTTTATTTATTTATGTGTAATGAATACATAGCGTATTTTAAGTCTGAAGGCACATGAGGTACATTAACGTAACATAATGGTAACAGGGTAGTAAGTGGTAATGCAAACAGACCCAACCGTCTCATTTCACAGCTGTTTTATGCAGCCGACATAGACTGTGAAGGTTATGACCTACATTGGCCGTGGTCTAGGTAGGCTGTAGCCCCTGAATTGAGACAGCCCATGTCTCTCTCCCAATGATCATTGCCCACTCCACCCTGTTCAGTCATTTTTGGAGTTTGATAGCAGCAACATTTTAATTACAAATTAATTAAAAGATGTCGGCAACAGAAGATTTGTGCATCCAGAGTCTGACCCAGAGCCACAGGAGAATGAAGACCACCAACCTGCACAACTGCAGATTCACAAAATTGTTTAGCCAGAAGTCCATTACCTTGTTTAGCAGTTTCACAGCAAATACTGTAACTATATAGTTAAAAAATCTGTTCAGAGAAAACTGAACAGACTGAAAATTATGACTTTTACCAAAAGTTCATAACAAAATGCATTTAATGGCTAAAAAAATGGATTTTGAATCACTTGTCCCCTTTAAAGTATTCTACATTATCATTAGCTGTGACTGGTTGGTTGTCCCTCTGACAAAGTGTTTGACTTGTGACCTGTCCAGGTAAACCTCACCTTTTGCACAATGACAACTGGAGACAGGCTCCAGTTCGCTTGCTTCCCTTGCATTGAAAAGCAGGCAAAGAAAATAACAGAATGGATGGTTCTCACAACTTAAAGTTGTCATTAGAAAAATAATAAAAAAAAAATAAAACATCTGTTCAAAATTATTTGAAAGAGATAGTTTTTTAGTATTTATTCCAGACCTCCTTTGTTCAAATGTTATCTTGAATTAAGTGGAAAAGTTCAGATTTGTAAAAATTGCATTATTGTCTGTCAAAAATTCTTTACAGACACTTCACACAGGAAACATCAAATCAACAGTAAATTTCAGTTTAGTGCACTTTAATTGCATGCAAGGAGTCCAGACAAAAACAGCATTTATTCTGCTGACATAGTGTGAGAACTATACGCTGTCTGTGTCTGGACTCCTTGCATAAAGAGCTCTAAACCAAAATCTGCAGCTGGTTCATTGTTTTCTGTCTCAAGTGTCTTTATAAAAAAAATCCAACCAACAATTTGGGGGCTCATCCGGGATTCCAACATCCCTCAAAAAAGAGGAAGCAATTGAAAACCTTGCAAGGGGAGCTCCTGGTACTGAAGAACCCTAGGTCTGGATTGTAGGAGTGAGCTTAAAGTGAATTAAGCTTTTCCCACATCTCTCATACACAAGGTTGTGAGGAAACTTTTGCCAAGGTACAGTATTTCTCATTACTTCTTAATATCTTGACTGTGCGAAGTGAAAAGTGACACAATAAGTGAACGTTCAGACGAGTTCAAGTTGATTCATAAAAGACTATGCAATCATTTATTTACACAAATTGAACAGATCATAAGTTACACTTGATTGTGGTTATTCCTATAAAAAGTGTCAAAAGTTAAATGACATAAAACCTGCGTCCGAATTTTAATTCACATCAACTCAGATTACTTATATAGAACAGTAAAACGTCAGTTCTGATG